CTGGGCATAGTAGCTCATACCTGTCATCTCAAGCACTCAAGACTGAAACAGGAAGATCTTCCTGATAATCCCTGTACTTAGGAGCAGAGGCAGGCGTTTCAAAGCCAGCCGGGCCTCCCTAGGGAGTTCCAGGCCAGCTGGGGCTATAGGGAGATCCTGTCTCAAAAAGACCAAAAAAAAAAAAAAATGTCATACTAATATGTGCTGTATTTATCTTAAATACATGTACTGGAGAGTTTAGTTGTCAAATCGACACACCTGGGAAGAGGGAAACTCAGTTGGAGAATTCTCTGTATAGACTGGCCATGGACACATCTGTGAGGCATTTTCTTGATTGTTGAGTGATGTGAGAGGGCCCAGTCCATTGTGGACGGTGTCACCGCTGGGGAGGTGGTCCTAAGCATGTCATACTAATATGTGCTGTATTTATCTTAAATACATGTACTGGAGAGTTTAGTTGTCAAATCGACACACCTGGGAAGAGGGAAACTCAGTTGGAGAATTCTCTGTATAGACTGGCCATGGACACATCTGTGAGGCATTTTCTTGATTGTTGAGTGATGTGAGAGGGCCCAGTCCATTGTGGACGGTGTCACCGCTGGGTAGGTGGTCCTAAGAAAGGTTGAGAGCAAGCCAGTAAGCAATGTTCCTGTGTGGCCTGTGCCTCAGCTCCTGCCTCCAGGTTCCTGTCCTGAGTCCATACCCAACTCCCCTTATCATGAACTGTTGGAGATGTAAGATGTAATGAGCCCTGTCCTCCCCCAGTTGCTTTTGGTCAGTGTTTTGTCACAGCAGCAGAAAGCACTGAGCACACATGTCAAGTGAAGGAGGTCAGACGTAAAAGGCCGTGAATTGTTATCGTTCCACTCATGTTACATAAGACAGAATGGGCAGCTGTGGAGACAGAAAAGATGGCTGCCAGGGGCTGGTATGGGAGGACAGGGAGGCACAGTGTTGCTCTCAGAATGTTCGTGAATTAGATAGCTATGTTGATGGCACAACCTTGTGAATATGCTAAATGTATTAAAGCCACTGAATTTCATGATACGCCAAGTATTTTTTTTTTTAACTTGGCATTGGTTTGTTTGGTTTTTTTTTTTAAAGCCAAGTATTTTTCAGGTAAGAATTAAAAGCAAGTAAGCAAAAAAAAAAAAAAAAAAAAAAAAAAG